GTTTTTTGCTTTCAGGCACTGAGACCTCCACTAACCTGCATCAGAAGTTATACTATCATGTTCTGGGGACTCCACAGTCTGAGGATGTCCTATGTGCAGAGTTTCCTGATCACCCCAAATGGATGAGTGGAGCAGAAGTATGTGTGAAGTTGTTTTTTGTTTTTTTTTCCCCTCTAGTGTCATGTCATCAAACTTGGACAGAATGCATGTTTTAGTTGGCATTCAGGTGCAGTTTAATGATTGCAGATGTACTGTAGGTATCAGAAGATGGGCGCTACGTGCTGCTGTCTATCAGAGAAGGTTGTGATCCTGTCAACAGACTGTGGTATTGTGACCTCAAGACCACTCCTCAGGGTATTACAGGTATTCTGTACTTGTTTCTCTTTATTTCTCAAAGTATTTTGGTACTTTAAGACAAATATTGTTCTTGTTACTTGCTTAACACTTTGATTTTAGAACTGAAATCCTTGTTTGCTCAGGACTTTTGCCATGGGTAAAATTAATCGACAACTTTGATGCCGAGTACGAATACGTGACGAACGAGGGCACATTGTTCACCTTCAAGACCAACTTAGACGCCCCTCGTTACAGACTAATCAACATCGACTTTGCCTCTCCGGAGCAGAGCAGCTGGAAGGAGCTCCTGCCTCAACATGAGAAGGATGTCATTGGTGAGGTTCTGCAACACGTGCATGACCTTTTCCCTATAAAATATGAAGCGTTAGCAGTTTCGCCCTGTCATTAAAGGTACATTTCAATGTCATTCATTCTTTTGCCATGTCTTACTTGCAGTGTTTGCCACCTGTACATACTCCAGCTATTTGTTCGTGTGCTTCCTCCATGATGTGAAGAATGTGTTGAAAATGTATCGTCTGAGCTCAGGAGAGGAGCTGAGGACCTTCCCTCTTGATGTTGGATCCATAGTAGGGTTCACAGGACGAAAGCGAGACTCTGAAATCTTCTATTATTTCACTTCTTTCCTATCTCCAGGTACTATAATGCAAAAATTATTATTTCTAATTAAAAAAAGCTATTTTGTTTATCAGATGCCTTCGTCTCGCAATTTCTACCTGTGCAAATATTGTTGTTTAAGAGAAATAAGTCAACCTTTATGTTAAGTTTGTATAAATAAGAAACAACAAGTAATGCAATTTTGTCCTAAGTTCCACGTATTATTTCATGACGTAAATTTGTACTGTCTTTAAGAATTCACTGATTGTGAAGTGATTTCAAAATAGTAAAGAAAATGAAACTTTTACTTTCTTTTCATCTAGCCATCATTTACCACTGTGACCTAACCAAGGAGCCCCTGCAGCCCCATATCTTCAGAGAGGTCACTGTCAAAGGCTTCAACCCCTCCGACTACCAGACCACACAGGTAACTAGAGCCTAGACTGGGATTACCAGTGTTTAAATAGGTGTGTTTCATTTCTCTTTAAAAATAGGCTGCGGTAAACACATTTATTAAAAGATATCTTAACAGTTAATTATGCATAAATGCCCAACTTTAACCTAGTTTTTAAAGTACTGACCCAGCATTTATCCAAAATGACAGACATAAACCGGTGGTGTACAGGCCAGTTTGTACTCTGACAAACAAAATGAAGGGTTTTATCAATTGTCTGGCTCCAAAACAGCAAACTGTGGGCAAACTATCGGCTTAGGGTTGTTGTAGAAAAGGTGGGCTAAATCAGGTATTGGTAGCATTTATTAACGGAAGCAGCACTCAAACTGAGCTTTCAAAGTAGGTTTTTTTAACTAGAACTGTACCCTAATAGTCAAATCATCAGATATTTGTTTCTTAGTTTAATTTTGTGATTTTTAGATGTTGTATGTTTGTAAACATGAGGCTATAAACCAAGTCAGCATGGGTGTGTTCACAGTAGTAACTGTCACATGTCAGTTCACCTTGTTATGGCAAATAAGCAACTTTTTCTGACATTTTTTTTTTTAAACTCTTAGCAATTTTCCTTCTTTCAAAAAAATCACCTAGACAAAGGTTTATGGAAAGTACTGCCTCATGACTGTAGTTCTTTCTACCTGCAAGGACACTCAGGGAGTGAGGCACACCTCCATCATCAAATTGAACCAAACAGTTGAGAGTAAAGCCTTGATGATACTTGCTGCCTGGGTCTAAGTAACGTAAATTTGTTTTTAAGATGGTGAACGTGAGTGTACGTGCAGATGTGGTGCTTCTGTGGGCTCCAATGGAGTATGGAGTATTCGGAAGTATAACGGGAAAAATTGCTCGGCCGTCATAGGAGACATGAGCCCTTTCTCTTTAAATGTAGCCAAAGTAACAGCCATTAATTCTGATTTATTTAAAAAAACAAAACAAAAAAAAAGATTGATTGCCAGATGGAGTTGGAAGCTGGTCACCTGTGGAGAGAAATGAAAGAGAAAGAAATTTTACAATTAGTAATAAGATTTGAAGCTTTTGTGTTATGATAGATGTTGTCAGTGTCCCTGGGAAATGATTATGGGCCAGGAATGGATGACCTGACATAGCTGATTTTATATTTAAGTGGTTCAGATTCCTGAGAAACTTGCAGTAAATTGTCCTTTAGATAGTCTAGCCTTGGCCAGACCATGTTTCAAATTGTTTTTACTTCCTCTGTATATATAGTGTCCCAGAGTTAGATATATTTATATACTTCTGCTGAAAACAGCAGCCTCGAAAATAGCTCCGTAAGTGTAAAATGTTCACGATGCAGACAGGATTTTAAAAGAGCTCCTGTGTCTTCTCTTGTCTTCTGACTCAGAAACAAGGATAGATTGGTGATGTAAGCTTTACTGTTCTTTACCTTTTCGTAATTCACTTCCCATCTCCTTTTGTTTCCCTGACAATCATTTTTTTTTTTCTCTCTTGTTGTCTCAGATCTTTTTTCCCTCAAAGGATGGCACTCAGATACCCATGTTCATTGTTCACAAGAAGGGCATCAAAATGGACGGCTCCCATCCAGGTTTTTTATATGGCTACGGGGGCTTTAACATCTCCATCACGCCAAGCTACAGCGTGTCCAGACTCATCTTTGTCAGACATCTGGGAGGAGTTTTAGCTGTCGCCAACATCAGAGGAGGAGGAGAATATGGGGAGACCTGGCACAAAGGTGAGGACACGTAATTATAAACATGACTACAGAGCTCAATCGCAAGGGCATGTCCAGTTTGCCCTGTTAGAAAACGCCTGTGTTTGTGTGTGTTTGTAGCACATACAGTAGATTGTGTCTTGTCTTTCAATAATGACATCTCTAGTTAAAAGTTTGAAATGAATATATTTGCATATTGATAGAGTTTTCTGTGGCTGAGGAGGCATAAATGTTGTTTTTAAGAATTTCTAACCTGACAAGCATAAAAAAACATTTCAGACACACATTATTATTCAAAGCAGAATAATTTTAGATCTTTTCAAACGTGCCTGGAGGGAATCTTTTAAATATTACCAGCGCAAAGTCCTCATTTACATACTTTGTATTCTTTTTTTCCAGCTGGCATGCTGGCAAATAAACAGAACTGCTTCACAGACTTCCAGTGTGCAGCTGAATATCTAATCAAGGAGGGATACACTTCTCCCTCCAAACTGACTATAAATGGAGGCTCCAATGGTGGCCTGCTTGTAGGTACGTACGCTTCCACTAAAGAACAAGATACACTAAAACAATATAATCGCAGCAAATGGATATAGATGATGATGTTTCTGAATCCTTGGTGTCCTGTCTCAGCGGCCTGTGTAAACGAGCGGCCTGAGCTGTTTGGATGTGCAGTAGCTCAGGTGGGCGTCATGGACATGCTGAAGTTCCACAAGTTCACAATCGGGCACGCCTGGACCACAGACTTTGGCTGTTCAGAAGACAAAGAGCAGTTTGAATGCCTGATCAAGTAGGTGCTCTCTGACCACAGTGTAGATTTTAATGTGAATTATATACTGTAGGGTGCATTTACATCAGCTGCCTTTCTTTATACATTTTAATCTAAGCTTCACTGATTACATTGGCTACATGGACATAAAAAAATATACAGTGCTTGCAGAAGTCTTAGGCTACTCTCACTTTTTGAACCCTAGAATGGTTTCGAACAATAGTTCTCCAGGCTGTGTGAAGGTCTGTCAAAATCTTTCTTTGTCCCTGACCACTAAAAACAAAAAATCATTAATTTGTGTGACTCATTCAAGTACAACAAAGGCACCTAACACAAGGTAAGAACCAGCGTTGTGTCTACACATAACAACCTGGTGAAGAACCAATTTCAAATCTTATCTTTAGACGCTTTGTTTCTAGCAGCCTGTCACAAAAACACAATTTATTCCTATTTCTTTAGTTGGAAAAAAAA